TAATTATAGAAGTGATGTCATTTTCTCAATAAAGAAAACAGAGCTAGCACGCTCGTGGAGAAATATACAAATGCAATTCTGGTAACTTGAATAAAAGTCATTAGTTAGTAGCTGGTTGCAAAATATATTTACATTATATTGCCAAAAGTATTGGGAGGTCTGCCTTTACACCAGTGTTTCTCAACTCCAGTCCTCATGGACCCCCAACAGGTCATGTTTTCAGGATTTCCCTCAGATGAAACAGCTGTGGTAATTACTAAGGCAGTGAAACTGATCAAATCACCTGTGCAAAATAATGGAAATCCTGAAAACATGACCTGTTGGGGGTCCATGAGGACTGGAGTTGAGAAACACTGCTTTACACGCACATGAACTTTAATGGCATCCCAGTCTTAGTCCATAGGGTTCAATATTGAGTTGGCCCACACTTTACAGCTATAACAGCTTCAACTCTTCTGTCCACAAGGTTTAGGAGTGTGTCTATGGGAATGTTTGACCATTCTTCCAGCGGTGCATTTATGAGGTCATGCACTGATGTTGGATGAGAAGTCCAGTCGCCGCTCTAATTCATCCTAAAGGTGTTCTATCGGGTTGAGTTCAGGACTCTGTGCAGTCCAGTCAAGTTCCTCCACCCCAAACTCACTCATCCATATCTTTATGGATCTTGCTTTGTGCACTGGTGTGCAGTCATGTTGGAATAGGAATATGAATGTTATAGGAGGTTTTCCACATGATTGCCAACATCCCTAATATCAGATTCGCTTGTGACAAAAACTCCCCCTGGGATTGGGATTTTTTAGGCAATATAAGGACAAAGTTTCTTAAAAAACAATTAAAAATAGCTTTTATTACATAATATTTAAAAGATAACACATAATATTTTCCACATATCAGTCAATTGTTACATGAAACTGATGTACAACATTGTATTATGCAAGCAGAGACTCTACACCGAGTACCCAACGTGTTTCGGAGACGACGCTCCTTCCTCAAGGGTAACTCTGCATACAATACGATATGATCTGTAGCAAAATTAAGAATATACATTTTTTACATTATAAAAAATTATGCACTTTTCTTGCATAATATTAATACAGCTGAAATAATATGATACTCACAGCACCATCGGAGTGAGAGAGGGTTGATGGGACCACTGTGGCCATATATTACCATATCCCCATACCTCTCCTAGATTGGAAAGGGAGGGATGAAGAGAATTCCCCAAAAACCCAGAAAGTCACCAATAAGCACCCGCTGGGATCACCTGAGGGCAAGCAAAGTGACAGATTTTTTTTTTTTTTTAAGTGAATTGTAGGGTTTAAAAAAAAAAAAAAAGAAAGAAAACAATCCTCACACACACACACACACACACACACACACACACACACACACACACATATATATATATATATATATATATATATATATATATATATATACATACACCATAAATCCTAATTATGTTGAAAAATATACACCTACCTAATAGATGAAAAGAGGGAGGGGAAAAAAAGGGCAAAAAGGAGGCCTTAAGACATTCGGGTAGCAACAAGGTAGGAAGTCATGCACTCCACATTTGAATAAATCTTCCTTTCTTTATATCCCCCACACTAGGGTCTGTGGATAAATATAATTCCATAAAAAGTATAAACAAACAATACAGGGATCCAGGAAACCAATAATTAATGCCTTATTAACACCATATTCCTAATACTAATTCCTCCAGTAACTATATGCAATGCTGGGGAGCCAATAAGGCAACCATGCACAACTAAGAATATCAAATCAAAATGGTTTCAAAAGTCTCCCAAATTAAAAAGGGTTAGGGGAGGTTTTGTGTCTATCTAATATTCATTTACCTCAGCAATATATTTGTCAAAGTCAGGGAGGCAGGTGAAGTTTGCCAGTGGTGAAGGAGAGCCTGAATGAGAAGTCCAGTTTATATGGGAATCTAGGAGGCTGTATACATCACATCTGTGATCCATCAGGTGCAGCAAATGGGAATAGTTAACTGTGTCCCAGAGCCGAAAAAAAAAAACCCAAACAAACCTTTTTGCGATCCCCTGTGCGAATGGTGCTCAGAAGCTGCCTCGCCCACCAATGTGTCATGATGGCGTCAAGTGTCAGATGCCCACCGGCACGTGGAGGTCTGAGAAAGGGCCCAGACACCCAGCGGACGCAACCGAAGCAACCAAAGGGGTGCCCGATGCAGCTGCAGAGCCACTCCCCGGTCTGACCAGAAAGAAGGCCGGCGCCCACAGAGACGTAGGCATCGGCCTGCGTGTGCCAAGTGCCACCAGCAGTGACCAGGGATAAGGGGGACCCCTAATGGTGAATGAAAATATGATCATATTAGAAACAACAAGCACAATAAAAAAAAGACAATCCAAAAAACAATCTGCTGCCAACCATGAGTATGCATAACAATGCTGCTGTTAAGGATGCATGCAACCATTTCGCAGCTAGGCAGAAGCAATAGGAAATGAGACAAAGCCAGGACCAGAAGGGATGGAAAGACACAATATAGATGTTAATGTGTCAGAAAAAAAAGACATAATCTAGTCAAATGGCAATATAACCCCTAACAAGAATTATACAAACAGAGGCAGAGTGAAGCAGCACCCCAAGTTATGCAGGAGAAAGCAACAAAATATGTGGTACCTGAGACTGGCAGAGGCGGAATACCCATCGTTGGTAAATTAATTATTTTTCCATCCCCCCAGACACAAAGCTTTCTAAAAAGGGCCTAAAATTGACAGCCTCATTGAGACCAGGTACAGTGGTGGCATTGAGTGAATAAATCCATTTCAGTTTTCGTTGCAATAACAATTTGGTCCAATCACCACCACATGGACTGCAATGTATTTGATCTAAAATAATACATTTAATCTTGGGAAATTTTCCAGCATGATGTCTGCTAACATTTCGTCGCAGGGCAATTCGGGATTGCAGGTTTTCATGCTATGAATATGTCTGTAAAGCCTTCTTCCAGAATTCTGCCTTCGTCTTGCCCACATAAAAGGAACAACAGTCGTACCGGAGCAGATAAACTACCCCTATTGTTTTACAATTGTATAGTTGCCCATTGGGAAGCCTAATCTGAGACTCCGTACCAGGGGCGGACTGACAACTCATGGGGCCCCCGGGCAATAGGGGATCATGGGGCCCCTGTGTCCTTGCCCAAACTCAAAAAAGCCTATGAAAAAGGTACCAGGGGCATCTCATGGGGCCCCTAGTGACCCCGGGCCCTTGGGCAGTGCCCGAATTTCCAAATGGTCAGTCCGCCCCTGCTCCATACACATATAAGTATAGTAGTGCAGGAGCCACATATGTATGTCTCCTTATATTTAAAAGGGTCCTTACGGGCCCCTGCCTTTCTGTACTCACTTCTAGTAACTCAATCATTAATAGAGGTGGCTATTCTAAAAGTTATTTGATGAGTCGGTGATATATATTTACCAACTATGGAATCCATAAAAAGCAAATGCCAGTATTTTTGTATTATATTCCGAATCTTCTGATGTTGTTTAGAGAATTTTAGGAGAATTCTGGCAAATTGTTCAGGTTCTTTTTTTTTTTCTTATATATCAAATCATGTCTGTTAAAGGTCATTGCACATTTGTAAAGCTCTTACAAGTCATTGTCGGAAACATTCCGCCTTTCTCGTAATACTGACTGTAAGGGATGGATGCAAAAAGGGGTTTAGGGTGGAAACTTATTGGAATAGGAAGGGGCCACCCCCAAACTGTTTCCACAAAGTTGATACCATGAAATTGTCCAAAATGTCTATGGTATGCTGACTCCTTAAGAATTCCCTTTACTGTAACTAAGGGGCCAAGCTCTGTGGCAAACTTGCTCATCCTTGTTGGAGCGGAGTCCCCTTTTACACTCTCTTTTTCGTGTTCTGTCTGTCTATCTGAGGCATTCCTCAAATCATTCCTCACATCCCCCCTGCATTCCTGTGAGGCAGACTTTATCTCTTAGCAGATGATGTGGAACAACCTAAGACATTAGAAGTGGAGACACGCTGTCTACGAACGTGTCACTTTGGTCACCCAAAGATATGTAAGCCCCACACCTTATCAAACGGACCGGAGAACTGAACATTCCACAGGTCAACTGCATGGTTCATATCACGGGATATGAAGTTGGTAATTTAGTGTAGAGTTTCCCAATAACCACTCCCAAGTCAGAGCCCCCCCCCCTCCCCTTTGAGAGGGACCTTTAAGAGAGTTAAGTGAGTTAGTCTGGGACACACACAGAGATCTCCGAGGTAACATCGTAACACAGAGGAGATCAAAGAACCTTTCTGCTCTGCATCTTGAATTTGCTAAAACCAGGCAAGGCAAGTAACTTACCCTGTAATTTCCTCGCTATTCTATGTTTGCTGTGTCTTTATATACATATATATATATTTTTGTGACATCTCTTCGTAAATATTTATTTGCATCTGTGTGACGCTTTTGGTAATAAATCTTTCTTTCTGAAAGTGTTAAACTGTTTCTAAGCGCTTACTTGCAATTCACGAATCCCTGCCTTTGAAGAGATGCTACGGGTTGTCATATCTCTGTATAGCAGGTCCGCGGGCCGTGCTATATAGATCAATATTTCAATCATTATAGTGTATATTTGGTAACGGGAGTTTCCCAGTCTCCGACAAAAGTGGTGGTGGCAGTAGAGGGTTAGTTGCGTAACTAACTCGACCCAGTAACAAGCGCATTCAGGCTGCAGGCACCGATTGTAGTCCATTAGCTGGGCAATCGCTGTGTAGGGTGCAGCTGGGTGGGGCCTTGTTACGCGCGTCACACCGCGGTTTTGGATCGGCCGGCCCTTCGGTCACGAGTTTAGTGAGAAGGTCTGGGGTCTGACTCCGTGGGCGTGACGTATTACTGTTAGTCGCAGCTGTGCGATTGTCGCCTGTTGGTGGCGGCGGCTGCGGGTCGTAACAAGCTCAACCCCTGAAAAGCAATCCCACACCATAATCCCACCTCCACCAAACTTTATACTTGGAACAATGCAGTCAGGCAAGTACCATTCTCCTGGCAACCGCCAAACCCAGACATGTCCATCAGATTGCACTATTGTTATGCTAATCTGAACCCACATGAAGTTTGGAGCTATTGACTCTGCAGACAGTTGGTGACTTCTGCATACTGTGAGCTTCAGCATGCGCTGACCCCTCTCTGTCATTGCCTACCACTTCATGGCTGAATTGCTGTTGTTCCCATTTGCTTCCACTTTGTTATTATACCACTAACTGTTGAACATGGAATATTTAGTAACAAGAAAATTTCACGAATGGATTTATTGCACAGATGGCATCCTATCACGGTACCACTCTTGAATTCACCAAAATCCTGAGAGTAACCGATTCTTTCACAAATGTTTGTAGAAGCAGTCTGCATGCCTAGGTGCTTACTTTTATACCTCTGTGGCCATGGAGGTGATTGGAACACCTGAATTCAATAGTTTGGAGGGGTGTCCCAATACTTTTGGCAATATAGTGTATGTATCCCATTCCATGGGTTTGAGGCAAATCCTGAGGGTTTGAGATTTATAGTCCTGGTGAATGTATGTGCATATTCATCCAGTAGAATTTTTATAAACCATAATACACTGCATGACCTTTGAATAATGTTTAGCAGGCGTAGATTGGACAATAAGGGGGGTTTTGTTAAAGATGTTCTATGGTCACAGCATACACTTCATTTTATAACTTCAGCGTTGCAATAGCAATAAAGCAATAGTTATTTTTGACAATCCAATATACTGTAAGCATAATTGTAATGTGTCTCCTTATCGTGAGTTCTGCCTGTCTGCTGGCCATCTCTTTCCAAAACTTCCTAGATTCCCTGCATACTTTTCAGCTTCTCCTCTGCTATTTACTTTTAACTTCTAAGGACTACAAATCCCATGATACTCTTCCTCTCAGCACCTCTTTGGTTCATAAGATAGGTCCTGAATTCTGTGACACAACAATGCCTACCCACAGAGCATAGTGAATATGTGACACAGAATTCAAGGAATTAATGTTTTGGTATCTTCAGAAAGTAAGTTTACAAACTTCAAGATCGTTCAAAGTAATAGGGATAGAATAGAAGTCTTTGAAATACAATACAGAAATGAATATATGATTTTATATTTTGAAATGGTTAGAAATGCTTTAAGTAAGCTCTTTCATTCTAGTCTAAAGGATGGGGGGGGGGGGGGGGGCAGCCATAGTGTCAGTAAATGGGAAGCTGTTGCAGGGAAAGTTTAGAGAAAAACTGAAAACAAGTAAAAAAAGAAAACCGTCAGATTTTTTGAGAAATTCGGATATTTACATTTTTGCGTACGTTCAATTTCAACCATTTCGCAAAAAGCTGCAATTTAAAATGTACAAATATTTATTTATTAACTCAACACAGGTGAAACTTTTATGGTAAGTAGGAATTTATCAGGAGTTTTGTAAAATGTTATGTGTTTTTTTCTGCTAATAATTAGAGATGAGCGAATCGAACTTGGCGAAGTGGAATTCGTTTTGAATATTAGGAAAAATTCGATTCGCGCCGAATCCGAAAATTAGCAAACTTCGGATGCACGAATCGAATTTTCCCCGATCGGCCAATTTTCATCCCTTCTACAGCCGGCAAAAAGTGTCCCTGCAGAGAGCTCCGCTATTTCTGACAGTTCTCTGACAGTTCCTTCACATTTACAGCGGTTGAAACATTGTATCTATTTGTTTCCATTTAGGATACAGATGTTTTTTATTCGGAAACAAATAGATACAATGTTTCAACCGCTGTAAATGTGAAGGAACTGTCAGAGAACTGTCAGAAATAGCGGAGTTCTCTGCAGATACACTTTTTGCTGTACTGGAATTCTTCTTATTTTCATCCTACTTCTTCTTCTTCTTCTTCTTCTTCTTCTCTTCTTCATCCTCTTCTTCTTCATCCTCTTCTTCTTCTTCTTTCATCCTCATCCTCTTCCTCTCTTCTTCTTCTTCTTCTTCTTCTTCATCCTCATCCTCTTCTTCATCCTCATTCTCTTCTTCTTCATCCTCATCCTCTTCTTTCATCCTCATCCTCTTCTTCTTCATCATCCTCATCCTCTCTTCTTCTTCTTCTTCTTCATTCTCATCCTCCTCTTCTTCTTCTTCTTCTTCTTTCATCATCCTCATCCTCTTCTTCTTATTCTTCTTCTTCCCTCCTCACCATCATCCTCTTCTTCTTCTTCATCCTCTTCTTCTTCTTCATCCTCATCCTCTTCTCTTCTTCTTCTTCTTCTTCTTCTTCTTCTTCTTCTTCTCTTCTTCTTTCCTCATCCTCTTCTTCTTCTTCTTCTTCATCCTCATCCTCTTCTTCTTCTTCTTCTTCTTCCATCCTCATCTTCTTTCTTCATCATCCTCATCTTCTTCTTCTTCATCCCATCTTCTTCTTCTTCTTCTTCTTCTTCTTCTTCCTCATCCTCTTCTTCTTCTTCATCCTCATCCTCTTCTTCTTCTTCATCATCATCCTCATCCTCTCTTCTTCTTCTTCTTCTTCTTCTTTTCATCCTCATCTTCTTCTTCATCTTCTTCTTCTTCTTCTTCTTCCTCATCCTCTTCTTCTTCTTCTTCCTCATCCTCTTCTTCTTCTTCATCCTCATCCTCTTCTTCTTCCTTCATCATCCTCATCCTCTTCTTCTTTCATCCTCATCCTCATCCTCTTCTTCTTCTCCTCATCTTCTTCTTCTTCATTCATCCTCATCCTCTTCTTCTTCATCCTCATCCTCTTCTTCTTCTTACCTCTTCTTCTCTTCTTCTTTTCCTCATCTTCTTCTTCATCCTCATCCTCTTCTTCTTCTTCTTCTTCTTCCTCATCCTCATCCTCATCCTCTTCTTCTTCTTCTTTTCCTCATCCTCCATCTCATTTCTTCTTCTTCTTCTTCTTCTTCTTCATCCTCATCCTCATCCTCATCCTCTTCTTCTTCTTCTTCTTCATCCTCATCTTCTTCTTCTTCCTCTTCTTCTTCTTCATCCTCATCCTCACTCTTCTTCTTCTTCTTCATCATCCTCATCCTCTTCTTCTTCTCTCATCTTCTTCTTCTTTCTTCATCCTCATCCTCATCCTCTTCTTCTTTTCTTCTTCTTCATCCTCATCTTCTTCTTCTCTCATCATCATCCTCATCCTCATCCTCTTCTTCTTCATCATCATCATCCTCATCCTCTTCTTCTTCTTCCTCATCCTCTTCTTCTTCTTCTTCTTCATCCTCATCCTCTTCTTCTTCTTCTTCATCCTTCTTCTTCTTCATCCTCATCCTCTTCTTCTTCTTCTTCATCTTCATCCTCTTCTTCTCCTTCTTCTCCCTCTTCCTCATCCTCTTCTTCTTCTTCTTTCTTCTTCTTCCTCATCCTCATCCTCTTCTTCTTTCTTCTTCACTCTTCTTCTTCTTCTTCTTCTTCATCCTCATCCTCTTCCTCTTCTTCTTCTTCTTCTTCATTTCCTCATCCTCTTCTTCATCCTCATTCTCTTCTTCTTCATCCTCATCCTCTTCTTCTTCATCATCCTCATCCTCTTCTTCTCATCATCCTCATCCTCTTCTTCTTCATCCTCATCCTCTTCTTCTTCTTCTTCTTCATCCTCATCCTCATCCTCTTCTTCTTCTTCTTCTTCTTTCCTCTCTCATCATCATCTCTTCTCTTCTTCTTCTTCTCCTCTCATCCCTCATCCTCTTCTTCATCCTTCTTCCTCTTCTTCTTCTTCTTCTCCTCATCCTCCTCTTCCTCTTCTTCTTCTTCTTCCTCATCCTCTTCTTCTTCTTCATCCTCATCCTCTTCTTCCTCTTCTCTTCCTCTTCTTCTTCTTCTTCTTCTTCTTTCTCTTCTTCCTCTTCTTCTTCTTCTTCTTCTTCTTCTTCTTCTTCTTCCTCATCTTCTTCTTCTTCCTCTCCTCTTCTTCTTCTTCCTTCTTCATCCTCATCCTCTCCTCTTCTACTCTTCTTCTTCTTCTTCATCCTCATCCTCTTCTTCTTCTTCATCCTCATCTTCTTCTTCGTCTTCATCCTCATCCTCTTCTTCTTCTTCTTCTTCATCCTCATCCTCTTCTTCTTCTTCATCCTCATCCTCTCTCTTCTTCTTCTTCTTCTTCTTCTTCTTCATCATCCTCATCCTCTTCTTATTCTTCTTCTTCTTCTTCATCCTCATCCTCTTCTTCTTCTTCTTCTTCATCATCATCCTCATCTTCATCTCCTCTTCTTCTTCTTCTTCTTCTTCTTCATCCTCATCTTCTTCTTCTTCTCATCCTCTTCCTCTTCTTCTTCTTCTTCATCCTCATCCTCTTCTTCTTCTTCTTCATCCTCATCTTCTTCTTCTTCATCCTCATCCTCTTCTTCTTCATCCATCTTCCTCATCCTCTTCCTCATCCTCATCTTCTTCTTCTTCTTCTTCATCCTCATCCTTTCTTCTTCTTCTTCTTCATCCTCATCTTCTTCTTCTTCTCTCTTCTTCTTCATCATCCTCTCTTCTTCTTCTTCTTCTTCTTCTTCCTCATCCTCTTCCTCTTCTTCTTCCTCATCCTCTTCTTCTTCTTCTTCATCCTTCTTTCTTCTTCTTCATCCTTCTCATCCTCATCATCTCTTTCATCTCTTTTCTTCTTCTTCTTCTTCTTCATCCTCATCTTCTTCATCATCATCCTCATCCTCATCCTCATCCTCTTCTTCTTCTTCATCCTCATCCTCTTCTTCTTCTTCATCCTCATCCTCTTCTTCTTCTTCTTCTTCTTCATCCTCATCCTCATCCTCTTCTTCTTCTTCTTCTCTCATCTTCTTCTTCTTCTTCATCCTCATCCTCTTCTTCTCTTCTTCTTCTTCATCCTCATCCTCTTCTTCTTCTTCTTCATCCTCATCCTCTTCTTCTTCTCCTTCTTCCTCATCCTCTCTTCTTCTCCTTCTTCTTCCATCCTCTTCTTCTTCTTCTTCTTCTTCTTCATCCTCATCCTCTTCTTCTTCATCATCCTCTTCTTCTTCTTCTTCATCCTCATCTTCTCCTTCATCCTCATCCTCCTCTTCTTCTTCTTCTTCTTCATCCTCATCTTCTTCTTCATCATCCTTATCCTCTCTTCTTCTTCTTCATCTTCTTCTTCTTAGTCCTCATCCTCTTCTTCTTCTTTCTCCTTCCTCATCCTCTTCTTCTTCTTCTTCATCCTCTCCTCATCCTCTTCTTCTTCTTCTTCTTCATCCTCATCTTCTTCTTCTTCTTAGTCCTCATCCTCTTCTTCTTCTTCTTCCTCATCCTCTTCTTCTTCTTCTTCTTCTTCTTCTTCATCCTCATCCTCTTCTTCTTCTTCTTCATCCTCATCTTCTTCTTCTTCTTCATCCTCATCCTCTTCTTCTTCTTCTTCTTCATCCTCATCCTCTTCTTCTTCAATTGAAGCTGCTTCTGCTCCGCCACTCT